CCTAGCATGCAGGGGCACGGAGGTGGTGGACATATCGGGCTACTCGTGCTGCCCCGGAAACTCCACGCCTGGGGTTGTAGAGCCCGTCGCCACGCGGAAGGGATGGGACGAAGCGCACACATAGCCACCACCGGTGTGGGCGGACGTCGATTTCCTGATCCGCTGAAGAGCAAACCTTCAGCGTCGCGCCCAAACCTCGGGGATGAGCTTGATGAAATACGTCGTCAAGAGGACATTTAGTGTTGTAGCTGCAGGGGCAAGCTTGTTGGGTCCGGGGTGGGCGGGAGTTGTTGACCCGCTCCGGAGAAAGCAGGGGGCATAAACTGCGTCGCAGAAGCCCTCGAGGAAATGCCAGTCTGTGACATTCCAGTTAGCTATGTAGGATAGCTGTGAGTTGCCTCCACCAGCGGAGTCATGCCTAGCGATACCGGGACATCCGCCGCCACTAGCACTACTAAAGGTGCTTCAATAAGGTGGGCTAACTCTATGGTGCTAGTGCTTTATATTCTCCACTGCACTCTACCTGATGGGTCTCGCTGACGAGCCGAAGGCACAGCGGTGTAGTAACAGAAAGCGCGCCGAAGGCGCGGGACCTGTTTTGTTGATCAGCGCGCGCTGAACAACAAAAACAAGATAAGCTAACCAGCTTAATGCGCGCAATAAATGACGGCCCTGAGGACACGGGCCGTTGCGAAACAGTTAGACTAACAGTTACGCATTGGGCCTTACGCCCAACTAACCCAGCTTACTTACGCAAGCTCGCATTACTAATCTGCGATTAAAGCTTGAATTCACTGACATTTTTCTTATGTAACTGGCGTCTGATGTTGGGATGCGCAAAGGGAAACTTTTACATGAAGCTGCTGGTGGTTGGGGGCCGCTGAACCAGGTTGAAGATCTGCCCTCCATACTACTGTAGTCAGCAGAAAGAAGGCCAAATGGTCAGCAGAAAGGAGGCGGCTGCGGCTTTCACCGCTGCCGCGAAGGCGCTGGATGTGCGCGGGAAGGAGCTCGGCGACTTGTGCTTCGCCCTGTCCAAACTATCGGGGGAGGAGCTCGAGGTGTTTCCGATAGACGGTGACAACGAGGCAATTGTTGAGTTCATGAGGTCCGTGAAAGGTAAGAGTGGTGCGGGTTCAAATCTGGAAAGGAGTTCACTCACACGCACCCAGCAACCCCGCACCAAGATCTCATCTCGACGTGTCCCCTCAATTGCTCTCATGTTGTGCAGCCTCGGCGGCTGGCCTCGGCATGGGGAGCGCGGCTGGAGCTGGTGAGTTGGTTGTGCTAGCCCAGGCTTGACCTGACCTAAGACTCCGGCTCTAGTGCTCCGCGGCGGGCGGGGAAACGACGAGGCACAGAAAATTGACGAGAGAACGCACATATACGAGTACTCCAAACTTAAACCCATAATAAAGTTACAAGTTACGATTTCCGCACACAAGTGCGGGTGTGTCCGTAAAAGCCGGGGGGGCCATGGACGTTGTATTGGTATTGATGCGGGTACACGGGAGGTCATCTTCATTCTCCCTCGTCCGCTTCAGGGCGAAGCGCCTCAGCGCGACGTGCCTGGCCTCCCAGATTTCCGAGAGGTACCTGGCCAATGCCAGGGGTGGCGCCTCAGTCATAGTGGTGCGCATGCTGCACCCCGTAAGGGCTAGGTCACCATCATACTTAGCCCGTATGCTCTTGTAAGCGGGACATTCTTCGAAAACATGCAACTCATCTTCAACCGCTCCACAGTCACAAAGCCTGCAGATACGTGTGGTGCGCTCACGCCCATTAGGTCTATTAACCTCTAACTCCCAACAGCCTAACCGAAAACGCATGAGCACATGATGAAGTCGCTGGGGCATGGTCCCTTAAGTGTGCTCCAGCCAATCAAGACGCGCACCCCTTGACGGG